ATTTCAAAAAAAAAATACGACAATGTAAAGACATTGCTACCTTACATACCGGCTGTGAATCATGGTTTTTTCCAAAATTTACAGCAGAAAATAACTGAAAGTGCTGAAGAAACAGAGGAACCTGAAATTATTAATGAAGCAGAGCCATTTTCTTAGTTTAAACATTATTTCTTTATATTTATTTTCTTTTTTGAATTATTGACTTATTTAGTTTTTAATTGAAAATGTTGTCGTTTGTAAGTGCAAAAGTGTTACAAGTCACAAGTTTTCTAATAAAATTCTATTTATATATTTAGTATGGTTTTCTATACAGGGTGTCTCACGTAACTGGTTCGTTAGAACTTTTTTAGGTTCCACTATTCGTACAGTTTTGAAATTTTGGTAGCATGGATTGTTCATTCGGAACTATTACACTTTTTAATTGTACGTAAACAAATATGTTGACTTTCATAAAAGTTATGGTACCTAGCGTCTTTCGTTTTCGTGTTATTTTAATTTTAAGTTTTTTTTTGCAAATTTCACCATGCTCTTTAAAACCTCATATCCCAGCCAACGTTCATTCAAGAAAGCTCTAAATTGGCACGATTGCCCTTTAGATGCTTTCAAATAGATTATCATTTATTGTATCAAAGTATCTTATACAGAATGGTCAAAAATTGTATTACCGTTTCTCCATATTCAATGGGGAGAAAGTCGAAAATTTTAATTGGACGCCCCATATTTTAGTAGCCTACCCGAAAGGGAATTTAATTCTCTACAATTTATCTATAAACATTCCTATACCTATTTATTGTAATTTCTCTCATATTGGGAAATTTATCAAAACATGCAGGAGACCGTTTGGATTTTTATTAGAAGGCCTTAACATTTTGACAGTTTTTTGCTTAATTTATTTCTATTATTATTTCTGCTATTAGCTACGATTGATAATCTTTTAGTTTACTAACTTTTACATACCAAAAATAATAAATAGAAGATCAAATAAATGAAACGATTAAAACAAAAAATTAATGACAAAAATTAGATTTCAATAAAAATATAAATTTATAATACAAGTTATTAAATTGAATTTGGAAATACAATAAAATACGATAAAATATCTATTTCGTTGTCTTCATCACTGGTGACCGGAAATATGCGAGTTCTTTTGGTCTCGATATGTCCATAACTAAGAAAATCTTTATCAATTTTTTGAAATTTTCCTTATGATGGGCGTGTTAGGTTTGTTACGCATCTCTCATTAAGTGTTCGACACGTCCTGTCCAAAAGTTTATTACATTCGCCATCAATTCAAAATAAATTTCAAATATCGGCGTTGGAATAATCTGCCATGATGTTCAATGACTTACACCAGTCGTCAAATGTAACTAATGACAACAATAATACAAACATGAACCAAAAACTGTCAAAATTCCATAGCTTTCTAATAAAAAAACGTGCATTTCGTGCATGTTTTAATAAATTTCCCAATATGAGGCAAACTACAATAAATAGGTATAGGAATGTTTATAGATAATTTGTAGAGAATTAAATTCCCTTTCTGATAGGCTAAAAAAATATGGGGCGTTCCATTTAAAATTTTCGACTTTCTCCCCATTGAATATGGAGAAACGGTAATACAATTTTTGACCATTCTGTATAAGATACTTTGATACAATAAATGATAATCTATTTGAAAGCATCTAAAGAGCAATCGTGCCAATTTAGAGCTTTCTTGAATGAACGTTGGCTGGGATATGAGGTTTTAAAGAGCATGGTGAAATTTGCCAAAAAAAACTTAAAATTAAAATAACACGAAAACGAAAGACGCTAGGTACCATAACTTTTATGAAAGTCAACATATTTTTTTAAGTATAATGAAACGGTGTAATAAAAACTATAGCATTCCATTTAAAATAACGAAGTTAGGGTCTACTTCCGGTAGACCGGAAGTGCCGGCCATCTTGAAAATACTTTATATCGAAAGTTCCAAATGAACAATCCATGCTACCAAAATTTCAAAAATGTGCGAATAGTGGAACCTAAAAAAGTTCTAACTAACCAGTTACGTGAGACATCCTGTATATTTTTTTTTATTATTTCAGTATCCTGGATAGATATACAGGGTGATTTATAACATACGGAGCAGATTAAAAGAGCAAGTACTAGGGGCCAAACTGAAGATATGTTCTTAATAATGTTTTGACTACAACGTAATAATCACAAAGATATAGAGCATTAAAGTTGAATTAATTGCCCAGCATTTCTTACGATATACGGTATTACACTACGTTTAAATTCAAACTGCGAATATTTCGGGGTTACTTAAGCAATGCCTGATTAGCACCAATAATAAAATCTTTGTAATATGGCAGTTACGGCTATTTAAAAATTTGTTAAATCACTCAAAAACTGGTGTTTGTTTTTTGAGAACCGCTGATACCATGTTTTTATTGCTGTCAATCCAGTTGACTTGGTTACCTAGCAACGGACATGTCATTTAATTTTAATAATCAATGTCATTTAACGTCAAAATTAGAATTTTTACTAATCAAAAAATACAATGGTAATGTACAGTAACGAAGAATACGTAGATATGCTTATTATTTATGGAGCTGCTGGAGAAAACGCTGCACACGCAAGACGTCTGTATTTAGAACGATATCCAAATCGACAGATCCCTTCTGAAAACACTTTTCTTCGGTTAATCCAGCGGGGAAGAGAGACAGGAAATTTGCAACCTAAGAAAGGTCTTGGTGGCGGTAGACTAAACAGACATGGAGTGAATGTGGAAGAAGAAATTCTAGAAATTGTGGAAGCGGATCGAAGCACGAGTACTCGTCAAATTTCTCACCAACTCGAGGTATCCCAGAATTTTGTTTGGCGTACGTTGAAAAGTA